TTTACTGCACTTTCTGACAATATTATCAAATACAGACACATTTCCTTAAGGGAAGCCGGATATTAAAATCTGGACTTATAAAATAGGTTCAAGAATACTTTGTTTTCTGTTAACATTTAAATATTCAAATTAAAAAACAAACACCAATGTGCTCTGCCAGTGCCCGGAAGGATTTGAAGCAGCAAAACATTAAGCTTCAATAAAACTGAGGACCTTTAAAAAAAAAAAAAAAAAAGGCTAGCGCTAAGGACAAAGGTATATATGAATAAGGGAGAACTGTATCAGAACATGCTGGCTAGGAAGCTACTGTGGTTGAAAATAGAACGTCATTTCCTCAGAGGGCAGCCAAAGCAAAGACAGAGGTACCCCCACTCTCCGTTTTAATGAAAGGAAGCTGGCCCTTCATCAGGAGGAATACTTTTTTGCTTCTAAGCTAGCATGGGATGCATGGGGCGTCACTGATCATAATTAGGAGCTCTGGCAGTAGTTTAAAAGCCAAAGCAGAGATGGTTTCAATAAATATCTTGTTTAAGAGAAGCCTCCATTGAATGTCCCAGACTAAGTTCCACAACCAGTACACCCTCCCACACAAACTGTTCTCTACTTCACTAACCAACAATTTAATCCTTCTAGTAGTTACTCAGGCTAATTAAACCAAGTTGTCCTTGACTCCTATTCATTCTTTCATACCTGTTATCTGACCTGCCAGCAAATATTGTCAGCTCTGCCTTCAAAATATACCCAGATTCTGGTTACTTTTCAAACCAGCTCCACTGCGTCCACTTTGACCTAAGTCACCATCATTTCCCCCCAGGATTACTGCAATAGTCTCCTAACTGGTCTCCCTGCTCCACTTCAGTCTACTTGAATCCTATTAAAAGCTAAGTGTGAGCATGTTATTCCCCTGCTCAAAATCCTCCCATGAGCCCCCGTCTTATTCAGAATAAAAGCCAGAAGTCTCAGGAGGCACTCCGAGATCTAGTTCATCCCCATGCCTCACTCCTCCTCTGTTGCTTTAACTCCTGGATCTAACCTGTTCCTCTTCTCCCCGTTCTTACCCACATGGTCACACTGGCCTCTTGCCTGTTACAGAATAACTTCAAGCATGCTCCTGCGTCAGGAGCCTCACAATCGGTGTTCCTTCTGCTTAAATGCTCTTCTCCTAAGTAGCCACTTCCTTCAGATCTTAACTCAAATATTAACTTTCCAGTGGAGTTCTTGCCCTCCTACTTAATACTGTGAACACTCCACACACTCACACAAATCACACATGACATCTGTATCTCCCTTTTCTGCATTATTTGTCCCTTCGGCACTGCTATCTATCATACTGTAATTTTACATTATCTTGTTCATTTCCATCTTTCTCACTAAAACACAAACCTCATGAAGGCAGGGTTGTGGTTTTTGTCTTTCCCTGGTATATCACCCAGTGTTTAGAATAGGGCCTGGTGCACAGTGGATATTCAAATATCTGTTATGAGAATGTGGGAGTAAAATCCTGAGGGCATGGCTGTAGAGTATGCTTGTACAGGGGCAATTCTGAAAGTGGGAGTGGGAGACAGAACAATACAGTGGGCTCTGTAGTGTTTAAGGGATCCGATTTGCTACAGGGTTAATGCTTAGAACATAAAAACCAAACAAAGGATCACAGATCCTTCAGTTAACTTAAGATGATCATTTTGGATGAGGAGCCAACATGTTACATTTATTTTATGAAGTTTAAAAAATAAATTACATTTATTTTATACATTTATGGATGGACTTACACGCGTGCCCTCAGTCTATGTGTCAGAAGGTCATGCATCACACATGGTTTCTGGGGCACTCTTCTGAAGGAAGAGTGGAATGGGAGTACTCATGTTAGATGTGATTTTATGTTTACATGAGTATTTATTTGTATCCTGTCTCACAAGTACTAGAAGATTTTTATATGATGAAAGTAAGCAATCGCAGCTTGAAGATAACCTGGTAAAGAACTCCTTTTTCTAGATATTCACCCTGTCTTGCTTCATGACCCCAACATTTTAGATAAAGGGGAAATTTAATTCTTTTATGGATTAAGGAGGGCTTCCCTGGTGGCCCAAAAGGTAAAGAATCTATCTGCCTGCAATGTAGGAGATTCAGATTCAATTCCTGGGTTGAGATGACCCCCTGGAGAAGGGAATGGCAACCCACTCCAGTATTCTTGTCTGGAGAATCCCATGGACAGAGGAACCTGGTGGGCTATAGTCCATGGGGATGCAGAGTTGGACACAAGTGAGTGACTAACACATTCCCCGATGGCTCAGCAGTAAAGAAACCCCTGCAATGCAGGAAACTCAGAGACGTGGGTTCAAGCCCTCGGTCGGGAAGATAACCTGGAGAAGGAAATGGCAACCCACTCTAGTAATCTTGCCCAGAAATCCCAAGAACAGAGGGTGCCTGATGGGCTACAGTCCACGGCATTGCAAAGAGTCAGGCACAGGTTAAGATTTAATCTTAATCAAACACAGATTTAGATATTAAGATCACTCTGATAAAAGAATTGAGCCATTCAGACTATCTTTCTTGAGAATGCATTTAGGAAACCTAAACACAACTTTTTTCTTTTTGGTCAGAATACTGACATTCCCTTAACACAATGAGTAAGTAAAAGTATTCCAATAGTCATTGGCAAAATGTCTTAATAGTTAAACTGTTTGAATAATTAAGATGCTTGAACAGAAAAACATATGACTAATGACTTAAATTATCTAAGTTTTCATAACTTTAATTTGATAGAAAATGAACCAGATTTTCCCTGATAGGAGGAAGTTCAGACAGCTCAGGAAGAACATGAACCTTTTATGATTACTGAGGCACTGCTTAAACAGTCTAGTTACACAACTTACTAAGAGCTCTCTCTTTAGCAGGGTTTAATTTAGAAAATGGCTGCAATTACTCAACCACTAAAGAAGTTCCTTTATTAACAGAGAAGAGATACTTTCCTAAGAGAATAAAGAGTTACATTACATGCAAACTCATCTATTTCAAGTGAATATTTTTGGAGTGTGGATTCATTTTGTCCACAAGTTTTCACTTCTGGTTTCCCATTCTAAGTTATGGAAAAATGAACTCACAGAAACATATTCAAGTATCTATTTTGAAAAGTATTTACTTAGTTTGAATAAATTAATTGCAAATAAAAATTAGCTACAATATATAGCCTGAATAGAAATGACTAGAACAAATACAACACAGGACTTGATTTCCTTGCATTAGTCACAAAGCATGTGACAATCCAGAAAACTTCAAAATCAATTGTATATCTTTGAAAAAGGAGTAACAGCAGTTACTGGTACATCACAACTAGTCAACTTATAATACAAGTTTCCTGACATGCATTTCCTGAGTGAACCCAAATGATCATTTTTTTAAAACAAGGAAATTTTGACAAGTTGAAGTAAAGTAAAATAGTTCATGGCTTCTAAGCAACAGGTTTTGTTTTTTAAAAACCAAAAGAAAATTCAGAACAGTATCATAACAGGATAAATTAAAGCTATGCTACCACATACAAAATCTTGCTAGAGTCAATTAAGTATAATACAGCTTTTTGAACTAAAGGAAAACAAATCAAAAGATTAAAAAAATGATTCTGTCTAACCTAAAAGTGTACTGATTTTTACAAGTGTCACAAAGGGTTTGATGTAGTGCAGCTGTCTATACTTTCCTTGTGGGTATTAAAAACAAACAAACAGAAAAACCGGTGGGTGGGGGAAGGGGAGAGAAAATGTTTTCTTCCTTCTGAAAGCAAAGAACTTACTGGAGTTAGAGAATAAAGTGACCATGCAAGTATGTCCCTCCAATTGGCTGTCACTGGTGCTCACCTGCCAACCAAATATTTCCTTGAGTCACACTGTGGCAAATGTCCTTTTAGGATTCAAACCCACAGTTAAGGCTGGTCTGTTAAGATTTTAAAAAATCAAAACAAAAGAGCACTGTTGTCATTCAACCCTTCAAATCTTTCTACATTTCTTAACACCTGAATAAGTCCAAATACAGGATAGTTAATTCAGCATTCTTTTCCTAAAAGCAAATCAAGTCACTCTCCTTTCTTGTTAATTTATGCTTTTTCTCATGGGAATGATTTTTTTCTAGAAACAGTGAACAGATGAACCACAGTTTATATCTAAAAAATAAACTTGCCAAATGCTGCTGATACTAAAAACAGATTAGTTACTGTGGGAGAAAAATAGATAATCTAGATTAAATTGCATTTTCAAAGGAGCATATAAAATGTTTCTTAGCATTAAGCTTTTGTTATAGTACTATACTCGGAAGAAACATTAAGGAAAAAATTCTCTCCCAATTATCTTTAATGTGGTTAAAAACAAACACCTCTTACATAATGATAATTAATATGAATTTGTTTTTACAAGGCATTCTAATTTACCAAATTTCATATTTAGATGGGGTGGGGAGAGAGTCTCTCCCGTCCTTCTTCCTAACTCTGCAAATCCTTGAGCTACACTTGCTAAACTACTATTCCCACCAGGAGTGTGAGACTATCGTCACCATGCTACTCTACCGGGAACATTCTAAGATATTTTCTATAATAAAGATAAATAGAAAAAAAGTTAATATACATGTTGCTGTATTTTACAATTTTGCAACAAACTGTAAACTAACATAGTTTGAACCAACAGTACCCTCAGTTATACAAAACAATTTTTCAACACTGAGGATGGGTGATTCAAAAACACTAAAAGGAAGGCATCAAATTAGACTATGTCTTTTTCTCCTCAAAATATATTTTCAAAACTCAGAAATCAGAAGTCTGATACTTTCGAAAATCCCTTTGCTTGAGTTTCCCAGATTTTTGCTCAGAAATTGCTACTATTTATTACAAATGTTTAAAAAAATTCTTCATCTTAATGCAAACGACCAGAGCAGAAAAACTGTGACGTGGACAACAGGTTGGAAAGCCCAGATCACTTAGCTTATAAATGTTAAATGTAGTCCCGCAGGACAACTGTCTGTTAGTCTAGAGGTCCTTGGAAAATAAGTCTGATGTAGCCTTGTTCACCAGCCAACTGATGTGCACAGAAGGGACAGGCGGCATGAAAAGTGTGAGTACCATGAGGAAGCGGGATCTGGGACCAATAGGCAGTTGTCTTTTCTGAACACACATGCCCACATGGGCTAAACGCATGGGTTGGAGGGCCGGCGTCCACATAAAATCCAGCTTCACATCCAAGCCACAGAGGGACATAGGGACCAACAGACCTACACATAGGACATTCACGATCCTTTCCATCACGTTCTTCTTTGTTTCCCCAGTTATGATAGCCATGCACATGGCCGCAGTTTAGATACACCCATGGTTGTTTTTCATCAACAACATCTTTTCTCTTCATGCTGGGAAATGCTAGTGTGTTGAACCCTACAGGGCACTGAGGTCGCGCTGCATTGATTTCCTGTCTTAAAGCTTCTAAATGCTTCACGGTAGGAGTGTGGGAAAGGCCTTCTGCAGTACGCCACAGCAACGTTGCGCCGCAGAGATCAATTAATGAGCCATCTTGTAACTGATTGGTTTCAATTTCCACCTAGAGAAAACAAGAATCAAAAAACACACATTCACCATGGAGTTTTGGATTTTTTACTTCAGAGTTTTGGTCTTACAAGCTTCTTACTCAAGAATCAAGATTTCCTCTGGTTGTTTATTGAAGAAACTTGAATGGCAGTCATGAAAAATATAGGTTTCAAAATCAAGGATAAAATATTGAACAGTAACACATCTTTTCAGAGTTATAGTAAAGACAATTTATGATTAAACCATCTGACTAATAATCAGTAAGCTTAATATTTCCAATTTGGTAAATATGTTAGTCAAAGACATACAGATACAAGTAGAAAATACACAGAGTATTGTTTAAATTGGGAAAGCTTACCCACCCTATGAAGTCTACTGTAATTAAGTAAGAAGTTTATATCTTAGTACTCACCATTTTCCCTCTCTGCTGAGCTGATCTGGTTTCACGCAGGCTGAACACATTTCCACACACTGATATTTCTCTCCATATTCCAGGTTTGGAGTCTTCCGTGAACCCATTGCGTGGATGCATAACAAGAACACCATTAGTGGTGAGGCCATCCATCTGTCCATCTGATGTCTTCCACTTGGCAGCCTTCTCCTAGTAGAATAAAGAGCTTCTATTTATTTGTAAACTGGGAAACAGAAGCAGTTGTAAAAGGCAACATTTAGGAAAAAAGCTTTTTACCCCAAGAAAGATGTTTTTTGATGAGTCAAATCCTGCAGCATAAATCCGTGCTGTAAAGGGGGGATTCCGTTCACATATGATTCTACAGGCAAATCTTGATATGGTGCTCTGCACTGACTGTGTATCAGAATTACTTTGACTTCCAGGAACTGTGTCAGTTACTACAAAATCAATGGGACTTTCAGTCGACCGGCCAATCTAAGAGAAAAAGAAATATCTATAAACCTATCGAAAGGAACACAGCGGAAAATTCACTCAAAGGCACAAACAATAAGGTGAAATCATCAAGCTTCTGAATTTCTCAAGCTCAAACTTATCACACTTAACTCTGGAGGTATCTATACCCTTGAAAACCAATCTGTCAGATTTCCTCTGATGTAGTAATCATTTAGAGCATAGAATTAAGTAGGAACTTACAACCCAGAATATAGGAAACCCTCAGGGAATGAAGAGTTTAGGATGGCTGAGATTTCTAAGTGGCTGCAGATTTTAATTTTAACCCCTTGGGATAGAAATATGTCTACCACATATTACTCTAGTTTCCTTAACAGAACATAATGAACATAAAAGTAAATCTTCTGTGATGACTCCAGGACATTACACTATGAATACTGCTTATATTAAGCTGAAGTGCAGTGATGTCTTTGGGTGCTATACAGGTGTAGAAGAACACTGATCCCTATGTTAAAACGTTACAAAGCCGCGCTCTGAGGTCTTATGTCTACTTCACAGATTTTCTCCTGTCTTTTTTGTCAAGCTGTCAACTCCCATTTCTTGCTGATGGGTATACTTGTCTCTGCAGCATACTCTTCCTTGAACTAGCTACTCTTAATTCTGCTATGGGTTGAGAAATCAGATAACCAAACTTTAAAGAAAAGTATTTCAAAAGGTTCTTGGTGATGGCCTAAGGGATTCTCAAGGGAGAAGAGAAAAGGAATTTCAGTACACGGACTCTGTGGCATTTATTTTATATGCCTAAATGTTTTTTCTGTTTTCTTCCTGGTTCTTGGCCATATTTCAGAGACAAGTTTCCTTGAACAGAGTTCTTCTGCTGGATGAGGTGTCAGTGAAGTAAAAACATCTTCAAATGTACTAGCTAGTAAATTAATTTATTTAATTTTGAAAGATGAAAGTTGAAAAAATGAAGTCAGTGGAAGAGATGGCGAAAGTGACAATTATCACAGGGTATTAAACATTTAAAAATCAGTTCATTAATGTATTTGTTATAAAGTTGTATCACAGGACTTCCCTGGTGGTTCAGTGGTTAAGAACCCGCCTACCAATGCAGGGGACCCAGGGTCTGATCACTGGTCTAAGAGGATCCCACATGTCATGGGACAACTAAGTCCAAGCACTGTACCTAGTGAAGCCCATGAGCCTGGAGCCTGTGCTCGGTAATAAGAGAAACCACCACAATGAGAAGCCCGCGCACTACAACAGAGGTGCCCACACTCACTGCAACTAGAGAAGGCTTGCCAGCAGCAATGAAGACCCAGGACAGCCGAAAATAAAAAACACTGAACAAGTAGTATCATAAAAAATAAAGAAAATTGTTATTGAGAAAAACTACTGACCCTCTACAAAGATGATGACTCTTAAGTTGTTCTTTGCATAGTTGAGCTTTAAGAATTCCTTTTATCAACACCCTTTCAGATAAAACTCTAGTGTTTTTATCCTGCCACTAAGTACAAAGTCCTTATTTAGTCTGGATAGTTTTAGGGGGAAATTTATTGATTAAAAAAATGTAACATTTGGATGTTCCTTTTCTTTATTTCTAAGAATACGATATCTAAAGAAAATGGTCTTAAACCTTTGGAACTAAAAATATTTCCACTATTCTAAAAAATTCAGCATTCCATTAAGAGGGTTGAGTGCAGAGTGACTTTAAAGAAACATTTTGTTACTGACTACAGCAAAGACACCTCCAGGCCTTTTCTTCTTCATTTTATCTCATAAAGTTAAGAAAACTGAAAAGTCATTGGGACAATAATCATAAGAACATTATTAGGCACTTTATATCCTATTTAAATGTGTTTCAAAAAAGCCCAAGGCTTTACAAAAACCCAGTATTACGAGAGAGGATGTCTCTCTTAATCAAGAATCTTGCTTATGTCTTTAAGGTTTGGCTTTTCTATCATCGATTTATAAAACCATCAGTACTGGATTGGTACAAAGAATGAGAGAAATAAAAACTTACTATACCATTAGCTTTGACCAAATATGTGCTGAGAAGAAAGTTAGACTTCACATATATGATATGAATAATTAGAAACTGTACTTTTAGTTGCCTAGAGAGGGAAGTGAGAAGTAATAGAAAAAAAAGATCATCAATGTGTATAAAATATCCCTTGGTTTCTTTTTTGGATAATAATAGATGATAATTATTTTTACAGCTACCAATACTAGTAGCTAAGTGTTTACCGAGTACCTGGCACAGTTCTGAGTACTTCAGAGGGACTAACACATTTAAGCTTCCTAATAGTCACCTGAAGGAAGTTCTATTATCTCACTTTATAGGAGGAAACTGATGCAGAGAGTGGCTAAGTAATGTTTACCAGAAATTCTGATATCAGAGCCCATCTCTTACTCATGCTATGTGGACTTCTATACATGGGGTTTAGAAATCAACATCTATTTTAATGAAATGCATTAAGTATGATAACCTTTAAGGTGACCACAGCAAAAGTCAATTACAACAGATTTTTAACTTTTTTTTGTTCTTTAAGAAAAAAAGTTTACATGTTATAATACCTGAAACATATCAGTGTTGCTGTCATGAGTATATTCAACCACTACTGTCTGCGCTCGAGACAAGGTGTATGATATGCTATGCTGGTCCTTATTGCTTATTGCCTAAGAAAAAAAAGATTAATAGCAAAAATTAGCAGGTACCTCAATCTAAATAGATAAACTTTTCACAACAGATAACCATAATAGATAATAGATAACCTTTTTTTCACACACACAAAAAAGGGAGCTGTGCTCATTATACTATAACAACGTAATTGGAAAAAGAATTTGAGAAAGAAGAGATACATATAAATGTATAACTGAATCACGCTGTTGCACACCCAACACTATCACTTTGTATTGGAGTGTATGTACTCCAACATAAAACAAAAGTTTAAAAAAAAAAACCACCATACTGCTTCAAGAGTAAGTCAACTATTTTATAATTACAAAAGAAAACATCTCTTATGTCAGTGCTGACATTTCACCTATACACAGACATATAAAAGTATATGTTAATACATAATCAAGGACATCATTACTGCTATTTTGAATAAAATATCTGTTAGATCAATTGAGAATAAGAAAAGCAGAGGTTTTTATTCTTTCTTTAAAAAACGGTAATCTATTTATTACATGTGTGACATATTTTCCCCCTGAAATTTAGATATTAATAACTTGTACAACCTTTGTGTGACAGTTTCTTAGAGTGAGTGGAGTGCAGAAGAATTCAGGCAGACCTCATTTTATTATGCTTCACAGATACTTAATATTTTATAAATTGAAGATTTGTGGCAACTCTGCATTGTCAGATGATGGTTAGCATTTAGCATTAAAAGCACTTTAAAATTAAGAGCTTTCCTGGTGGCTCAATGGTGGGAAATTCCATGGAGAGAGGAGCCTAGTAGGCTACAGTCCATGAGGTCACAAGAGTTGGACACAACTGAGTAACTTTCATGATGCTATCACTGCACACTTATGTGCTCAGCCACTCAGTCGTATCCGACTCTTTGTGACCCATGGACTGTAGCCTGCCTGCTCCTCTGTCCATGGGATTCTCCAGACAAGAATATTGGAGTGGGTTGCCATTCCTTTCTTCTAGGGATCTTCCCGACCCAAGGATCGAACCCGGGTCTCCTGTAATGCAGGTGGATTCTTGACCATCTGAGCCACCAGGGAAGCCTGCACAGTTAGGAGATCACAGCATAGCACAATCATAACTTTTATGTATATATTAGGAAATGAAACCAGTTGTGATTTGCTTTATTGTGGTGGTCTGGAACTGAACCCAAAATATATCTGAGGTCTACCTGTGCACTGAAGCAATTACAGAGTAAAAACATAAGTTCACTGTATAAAAAACCTGTAAAATCTGAGTCTACATTATAAGTATTTCAAGTTATAAGACACTTAAAAATCAAATCCCAGGTAGGAAATGAAAGCAGTACTCAGTACTGCTCTGATAAGGAGAAAAGACAAAATCTTGCAAGATAAGAGGAATCTTATTTAATAATTAAAGAGGTTTAAAGTTAACACATAGGCAGAGTTAACTGGTTTTCCTAGCCACTCTGTGACTCTATAGATGACAAGTATTTGCCATATGCTAGGCTAGATACAGAAAAATTCATAGAATGATTAAACATACCAAAGGAAATGGATATAATGCTTATGACTGTACTTTTGACATATGCCAAACTAAAAACATTGCTAAAAAGAACTTCTCAGTTTTGTTTTCAGGCGTTTTCTATGCATATGAGTTGATGATAATATCAGAGGGGGAAAAACCTGCACAGAGGAAGTGGAAACAGGTTGTGTAAAAGAAACACAGAAAGACACAGAAGAATGATTATAAGCAGCAAAGAGGCTAAATGAAAAAAAAAACTTTCATAATTAGAACTTTGGTATTATGAAATTTTACTTCATTTCAATTGGTAGCTAAACTGGAATAGATAAAGTCTTCATAGTTTTAAGATAATTAAGACTGTGAAATTTTTCAAATACACAAAAAGAATATACAAATACCTGGGTACTAACTACCCAACTTTTATCATTCTTACTAATACCATTTTTGCTTCTGATATTTTAAAAGAAATTAAACTGCAGATATAATGAAGCCTGCTTATATGTCCTTCCCTACTCCTGTCTCTGTAGAGGAACTGAACCTCAAGAGTACAGTTTAGGTCACTCCCATGCACTTTAACAGGCTTTACTACACATTGATGCATTCATAAACATGACAAAATGGTTTTAAAGATTTAAAAATCTATAGCTACTTTATCTCAACATTAAGCAGCTGATTTTTCAATGAAATAATTTTTTAGTACTTTGGTCATTAATTCTTAACGGCTGAAGGGATTTAAAAACACAGGTTTTGTGTACTCTGAGATTATGAGCTGTTTTTTCTTTTTTTAACTATGAGATCTATTCAGACTGAAAATACAGAGCTGTGTCAAGTTAAATTCTCACTGGATTGGAAGTCAGGGTTTAAGCACTCATCCCAGATGACTGCTAGACTAAACAGTTAGTTTTCTTCCTGACCTCATTACACACTCCTCCAAAATTGAAAAAGCAGAGAGTCAATCTTTGATCCCTAAGATTCTTGCTGCCTAGTAAAGATGAAAAGGAGCCAGCAATGAAACATGAGGAGTATGACAGTAAAAACATGAAGAAAAGTACGCAATAGGAAATTACAGAATAAGACTTAGAAATTTTCCCTAGGATAGGAGTTCTTAACAAGACGTAGTATCAGCGGTGTAAGGGGTGTTTGGTGGCTGTGTTTGGTGGCCATCACAATGATTGAGGGCTGAAATGGCATTCAGTGGGAAGGGACTAAGAATACTAGGTTGGTGCAAAAGTAACGGCTGTTCTGCATTGTTGAACTCTATGTGGCTATGTTATTATACATCATTTTAATGTGCATTTCTCACTTAACTTTTTTGCTAATGACTTACTAGTTGCTGTTTATTTTATATTTATTTTAGACTATAGAAATGATGCCAGATAAAAAGCAAATTTGAGCAATTTTTTAATTTGAGTTCAAAATGGGTCATAAAGTAGCAGAGACAACTTGCAACATCAGCAATGCATCTGACCCAGGAACTGCTAATGAATGTACAGTGCAGTGGTGGTTCAAGAAGTTTTTCAAAGGAGACGAGTGCCTTGAAGATGAGGAGTGCAGTGGTTGGCTATCGGAAGTTGACAGTGACCAACTGAGAGCATCATTGAAGCTGACCCCCTTACAACTACAGAAGAATTTGTCAAAGAATTCAACATTGACCATCCTGTGGTCATTTGAAACAAATTAGAAAGGTAAAAATCTTGATAAGTGGGTGCCTAATGAGCTGACTGCGAATCAAAAAAATAATTTTGAAGTGACATCCTCTCTTATTCTGCTGCTGCTGCTAAGTCACTTCAGTCGTGTCTGACTCTGTGCAACCCCATAGATGGCAGCCCACCAAGCTCCCCCGTCCATGGGATTCTCCAGGCAAGAACACTGAAGTGGGTTGCCATTTCCTTCTCCAATGCATGAAAGTGAAAAGTAAAAGTGAAGTCGCTCAGTTGTGTCCGACTCTTAGCGACCCCATGGACTGCAGGCCACCAGGCTCCTCCGTCCATGGGATTTTCCAGGTAAAAGTACTGGAGTGGGGTGCCATTGCCTTCTCCGTCTCTTATTCTACACAACAACAAACCATTTTTCCACCGGATTGTGGCATGTGATGAAAAGTGGATTTTATACAACAACCAGCAATGACCAACTCAGTGGCTGGACCGAGAAGAAGCTCCAGAGCACTTCTCAAAGCCAAATTTGAACCAAAAAAACGTCATGGTCACTGTTTGGTGGCCTGCTGTCCATCTGACCCACTATAGCTTCCAGAATCCTGGTGAAACCATTACATCTGAGAAGTATGTTCAGCAAATCAATGAGATGCACCAAAACCTGCAACACCTGTAGCCGGCAATGGTCAACAGCAAGGGCCCAATTCTTCTCCATGACAATGCCCGACCACACATTGCACAACCAGTGCTTCAAAAGTTAAATGAATTGGGCTACAAAGTTTTGTCTCATCCACCATATTCACTTGATCTCTTGCCAACCAACTACCACTTCCTCAAGCATCTTGACAACTTTTTGCAGGGAAAACACTTCCACAACCAGGAGGAGGCAGAAAATGCCTTCTAAGAGTTCATGGAATCCTGAAGCACAGATTTTTATGCTACATGAATAAACAAAATTCTCGTTGGCAAAAATGTGTTGACTGTAATGGTTCCTATTTTGATTAATATAAAGATGTACTTGAGTCTATTTACAACAATTTAAAATTCATGGTCTGAAACCATAATTACTTTTGTACCAACCTAATATTAAATATCCTGCAACAGGTGGGACAGTCCTGCATAAAGAAGAACTGGAACACCCAAAATGCCAAGAGCACTTCAGTGGGGAAATACTGGAAAGAAGTTCCTCAGATCAATAAAGCTTTCACTCTACCACCTGCTTATTATTTATCAGCACATCCCTTCTTTGCAAAAGAACAGAAGGAAACACATAAAAGAAACTGTCACTTTTCTAAATTCCCTGGCTCTTAAATAGTAAGAGGAGACTCCGAGGGCTCTTGCTTAGACACCACACTGGATACAAAACAAAGCCAAAAGTCCAGGGACTGGAAATGTGACTTAAAACAAGGCACTGTATGCCAATTTCGCTCTCATTTATTTTTAATCTACAAAAATATACCTCAAATGGTATAACATTAATGTACATTCTGGGGCTGCTTAAAGATATAGGTACTTCCAGATGTAAAGAACTCTTTGTAATGTTTATTCATTCACCACAGTAGCAAATTTAGTCTCTGTTATAAAACTTGAAGTAGAAGAAATGTAAGATCTGAAATGACCCCTTACTGTCTATCACTCTAGGAAAAGCCCAAGTGTCCTGAAATGGTGGCCTAGCTTCTGGAAATTCTGGTTGGGAATAAAAAGGGGGTTAGAAGCATGAAGTAGGCTAGGCGCCTGAGAAGTTGTGTTATAGACACAATTGGGTATTTACCTTCATAGCTTTGATTCCATTTAATAATTAATGAAGGTCTACTCTGTTTAAGGCTGTGGTCCGTATGATCACATTGGCTAGTTTTCTGTGATTATGGTTTGACTGTGTGGATCACAATAAACTGTGGAAAATTCTGAAAGAGATGGGAATACCAGACCACCACACCTGCCTCTTGAAAAATCTGTATGCAGGTAAGGAAGCAACAGTTAGAACTGGACATGGAACAACAGACTGGTTCCAAATGGGAAAAGGAGTACATCAAGGCTGTATATTGTCACCCTGCTTATTTAACTTATATGCAGAGTACATCATGAGTAACGCTGGGCTGGAAGAAGCACAAGCTGGAATCAAGACTGCCGGGAGAAATATCAATAACCTCAGATATGCAGATGACACCACCCTTATGGCAGAAAGTGAAGAGGAACTAAAAAGCCTCTTGATGAAAGTGAAGGAGGAGAGTGAAAAAGTTGGCTTAAAGCTCAACATTCAGAAAACTAAGATCATGGCATCTGGTCCCTTCACTTCATGGCAAATAGATGTGGAAACAGTGGAAACGGTGGCTGACTTTATTTTTTCGGGCTCCAAAATCACTACAGATGGTGATTGCAGCCATGAAAGTAAAAGACGCTTACTCCTTGGAAGGAAAGTTATGACCAACCTAAACAGCATATTAAAAAGCAGAGACATTACTTTGCCAACAAAGGTCTGTCTAGTCAAGGCTATGGTTTTTCCAGTGGTCATGTATGGGTGTGAGAGTTGGACTGTGAAGAAAGCTGAGCGCCAAAGAATTGTTGCTTTTGAACTGTGGTGTTGGAGAAGACTCCTGACAGTCCCTTGGACTGCAAGGAGATCCAACCAGTCCATCCTAAAGGAGATCAGTCCTGGGTGTTCATCGGAAGGAATGGTATTGAAGCTGAAACTCCAATACTTTGGCCACCTCATGTGAAGAGTTGACTTATTGGAAAATACCCTAATGCTGGGAAGGATTGGGGGCAGGAGGAGAAGGGGATGACAGAGGATGAGATGGTTGGATGGCATCACTGACTCGATGGACATGAGTTTAGGTAAACTCCGGGAGTTGGTGATGGACAGGGAGGCCTGGCGTGCTGCGATTCATGGGGTTGCAGAGTCAGACACGACTGAGCGACTGAACTAACCGTGTTTAAGGTACAACGCTACAAAGCTGTGGGGGTCATAAAATAAAAAATAAAAACAAGAGCATATATAAAATCTTTGATAAAGACCACTTAGTTAAGAAAATTATCTCATCCAAACATGTTTCTAGGCCCTGAATACATATATTCTGTACCACACTCCTTGCCCAGCTCACAGAGGTCCCTCGAGTAATAGCGGGAACGTACTACATCTCAGGGCAGCTCCACAATTCCAAATTCTAGATGAAGCCCTGTCCCCCCTCCACCCCCGCTTTTTTTTTTAATGACAAAAAAGGAATTATTTCCTTTTAATTTCTACTCATGGATCCCGTGTGTCATTAAAAAAAAAAAAATAAAGTCCTATGCCCTTTTAGATATCCTATCTCCCAAGTGTCTTCTCCTATCCAAACAAAAGGAAACTTCTGGTATACAATGTGAAGGGTCTGCAAGAGAATATAAACAGCAAATATGTCTTTCAATCTCTCCAAGTTAATTTATTTAGTTTTTGTTTGTTTTACCTTTGCAGCCTGAGGAGTACAAGCAATATGCACAGTGCTGGGCTTCACCCCATTTGCCTTAGGTCTTTTAAACAAAGCAAATCTACTTTTCCTCCTTCCTCTATCGCCATTTGGGAGAGACCCATTATACCTGATGGGGGAGAAAAAAGTTTAGATGATCTCAGGTAAAAACCACACAATTCTAAAACAAATGCTTTATTTTGTCTTAGAGGATCAACCACTGATTAATTATCTATTAGCAGACTGTTAACTGTCTAGAATTAACTTTTAGTAACTGCTGATCCCCAGACCAGCTGCCTGAGTGTGAAACAAAAAAGATTTTTTTCTGTCTATGTCTGAAGTCACAGAGAAGTACCTTTTGGATTACAACACAGCTTTAAATTACTTGTATTTTTCTTCCCTCTTTAAGGTAATCAAGAGCTGATTAATGGCATATCTGACTTCTTCTGACTCATTCTATTTTTTTTTAAAGGTGAATGTTTGCATGTGGTAATACAACCTTTAAAAGTACATATTTAAACAAATATGACCTGCTTAAAACAGAATCCCCTTTAACTATGAACCAAACACTTTATAAATAACTGAACTTTTGAAATTAGGAATTTTTAGACTTCTCAGTCTCAGCTACTGGCCTGTATACATGCACGTTAAGTCAGTAAAACCTGTCCGACTGAGCATAACTAAGTGGCCGTTAAACACCTGTGTTGCTCAGATCTTATGACCATTTCTCTATGATAACATAACATGCCCTTAAGGTAAGCAAGTCAGCGAGGAGTGAACCAATAGCAAAAAGGTTCAAAACAAACATCCGGGTGTTAACTGTGTACTAGGCACTAGTGGGTTCTATTTCACAAATCACTTTATTTTATCCATTCTCTCATAAAAACTGCAAAACTGGTACCACTTGCCTCTGTTACAGGTTAGGAATCAAGTTATTCTTCAGAGGAATTGAGTCCCCCCATTATTTTCTGAAGGTCACACAAGGGACACTGGCAAAGCTAGAACTGGAATCTAGGTGCTTGCTGTGCTTTTTTTCATTCTTTACTGCTTTGCCGAAGCACGAACAGTAGCTTAATAATACTCTCCTCATGTACTGTCCCCTTATGGCCCGACAAATTTGGTTTTATGGTTTCTTGTTTATCGTTGGTTAATCTGGGGGGAAACTGAGGCAAGGAATGGGTACAGTTTTGAGGGTGGAGGAGACTGTGCTTATAAAATGGCCTACGCTAGTGGCTGACAAGGAAGGGAATGGAGTTTACTTAAAGGTTGTCAGATACAGAAATGACACTGAACAACCTTTGTAAAATGTAAAACACACTGATTCTTCTGGCAAAAGCCCCTGCTAACCTTGCAGGTTCAGAGTAGTGCCCCTCAGCTAATACATACTGGATTTTGCTGCTTGGGACGGCGCTGCCCCCAGTCTCACAAACTGAGGGCTCCTCACTGCCCCTCACTACTGTCTACCAGAGCGCGCCTCCTGCCTCCTTTGGACATATTCTCTCTTCCTACACTGTGTTCTTGTAGCTGAGAGCTCTTTTCTAACTAGCACTAGCACAAAACTGACCACCTTATCCAGCTTGACTTCTTCTAAAATGCTGAGAAGAAGCATTGTTTGCATTTTAAGATATCAAGTGTTAGGTACAGAAACAACCATTTTATAAGATTAACTGAGAAACTGCTGGGCTAAAAGAGCCAGTTTAAACCATATACTAAATTTCAAATTCTAAGTCTTCAGATGACTCAAATTTCCTGCTGAAGAATTTAACTTTGAATAGCTTTTGGTGGTTAAAAATCTGGTATTAATACATCAAAATCTATGTGATTTTAAATTGTAATATTGTAGTTCCTATATTAAGTTTACAATCTTTTGTTTTTGGAAAAAAAAATTTTTTTTCTTTAATTTCAAGGGACCTTAGTTGATCTTGTCTGTCATTTTACAGAAGAGGAAACTAAGACCCAAAATTGTTAAGTGATTTGCCTAAGGTCACACAGCTAGCAGTATTGGAAAAAGTACTGGAATTCAGGATTCCTGGCTTCCAGTCAAGCTCAGTAACACCATATTATTTCCCCAGTTTTTCTTACTTTCTTACCTGAAACAATGGCCACAGTCTCAGTTAAAGAAGAATTTGCACCAACCTGATTCTAAAATATGTTCTAAATGTCTAGAACTGCTTTTTAGGCAGGACAGAAACAGTCTAACATTGTGTTTCCATTTTGACAGCTGTGGCAAGTTTAGACTGGATAAACTAAAATAATGGAATCATTTATTCCTCAATCATAAGACTGTATGAGTAGAATGGATGAAATTACTTTCGAAGCAAACAAGTAGCAATGTCCTGGGCTTCAGAATCATCATACTGTCATGTCTATACAACTCTTTTAAGTACAGGACCAAAAGCAGAAAGCAGCAACTGTCTTACAGGGCAAAGGAACAAATAAACACTAACCTATGTGAAATGACCTAAGCAGAGGGGAGATTTTGGGTACAGTCAGCTGAGGCAAATTTTCTAAAAAAAGGCATAGGGAAGACAGATGGACTGGCTATGTGACTTTAGACAAGTACATTTTTCACTTCATGTTTAAGAAGGTTTGTCCTTTCTAGGGGTGAGGGTGAGGCAGAGTTTATAGAGCATTTGAGTACTTACAAAGGATGACACAAAAATGAGAATTAAAAGAATTTCTTGATTTGGTAATATAACTCTGTAGCTTTAAATACTCTTTGGAAAAAAGCAGGATATAAATTCGAAAAAAAAGTGCATTTAACCAAGATGTTAAAGTTATCATATATCATTCAATTTTATGCTCATCAGATGGAGAAGTCTTACCCTAAGACAATGAGTTCACCATATTTTACTGGTGCTTTGGATGGATGATTTTCTTGATCAGGAGAAAACATGAGCTTGGTTGTCTTTCTCAAATCTTTGTTCACTGGTCAGGAGCCTTGGGACACCTTTTGCATTATTTCCTAGAGGGGAAAAGTTTTCATTAATAATTTGAACAATGAATTTCAGTTTAAGTAAAGATGTTCTTTTCTAAAAGTCCTTGGGAGCACAATATTATGAAAATTATCACATAATATATAAAGTGTCTGACATTTCCCCCAATAATGGTTATATATTTGATATAACTGTTTAAACACATTAAAATGTAAATTTAGGAATGCTGACTTTACATTAAAAATGTAAATTCCAGTTCCAGGATGATGAGGAAGACATTATTTTCCCTATGATTTCTGCTAATTATAACCCAAAACCCTGAACATTATATATAAAGCAGAAGAAGACTCTGAAAAATAGAGAGAAGGCAGAACAGCTAGGGGCCTTGGGGCCCATGGAACAACTCAGTGGCAAGTTCTTCGGGTTTTCTTTTTGCCTAGTATCAATATATCCCAGATCTGAAGCTGAAGAATCTAGCAACCTGGAAATGCCCACTGGCAGAGAGAAAAACAAACATGTGACAAAATGCCTGCTCTCTCTTGTCAGAAGAACAAGAAAACGGCGGCCTTTGCAAGACAGGAAGCTTTTGACGATAACTGCTCTACTCAGCCACCACCACAGCAAACACGCTGACCCCACCATCGCACTCACCAGCAAGAGCTGAGTGCTGAGCCCGGACATCACCTCAGGAGGCCACAGTGAGGCGGCCTGGCCTCCCCCTGGGCCTACCCTTGCCAGAGGCAGTGTCAGAACAGGCCAAGTGGAGAGACAGCACGGCCACCCTGTTGGCTGGTAACGTGCCCCCTCCTCTGCCTGAGTGGTGTCAGTGGAGAGCGCAGCGAGCCTGGGGTTCCATCCCAATTCCGCAGGATCTTCTTCCCTCAGGTGTCAGTGGAGGCCGAGCAGGGAACCTGGACTTCCATGTCCACCTGGTAGTAATAAGAAGGCTCCCGTACTCCCCTGACAGAGCAATGTGAGGAAAAGCTAGGGAAAATAGAAGCTCTGGATGATATTCAGTGTCAGAACATTAAACGAAAATGTCCAGCTTTCAAAAGAAAGCCATGTATTATATAAAGTACAAGACAGAATTAAAACAATGCAAAAAGATAATCAACAGATGCCAGAAGTTTTGATGACAGAGATGTGAGAATTATCTAACAAAGATTTTAAATCAGTCATGATAAAAAATTTCAGTAATCAATTACAAACAAGTTTGGAGCAAAGAGACAAACAAAAAATAGAGTCTCCACAAAGAAACAGAAGATATGTAAAGTTCACTGGATGGGCTCAACCCAGAATGGAAGGTACGTAGGAAAGGAATGAGCTGTAAGGCAGAAAGTACCCAGTCTGAACAACAGACAGGAAATTAGACTGGAAGAAAAAAGGAACGAGCCTAATGGACCTGTGGGGCTACAGAACAGCCCTATTAATAACATTAGTATCACTGGAGTTCAGAATGAAAGGAGAAAAAATGGAGCTGAAAAAGTACTCAAACAACGACTGAAATTCAACAAATGTGAAAAGGGAAACAGAACCACAGATTCAGGAAGCTGAACAAACTCCACATAGGATAAAACTAAAGAAATCTATGCCAAGACACATGATAATTAAACTTCTGACTTAAAGGCAAAGAAATTTTCTTGAAAGCAGTCAGAGAAGAACTAAATCTTATGTATAGGGGGAAAACAATGAATTTCTCACCAGAAACTACAGAAGCCAGAAGCAAGTGGCCTATTTTTTTTCAGGTGCTGAAAGAAAGTAACTATCAGCCAGGTTCCAGCAAATATGGAAAGAAAAATCAAGACATTCTCAGATGAGGAAAAATTAAGAGAATCTGTCACCAGCAGAGCTACTCTAATAGAATGGTTCATAGGAATTCTCTAAACAGAAGATTAAAAAAAAAAAAAAAAAACTTGGAACACCAGAAAAGAACAAAGAACATGGTAGTAAAATCAAGACTTATGTTCACACAAACCTGTACATAAAAGTTTACAGCAGCTTTATTCATAGTAGCCAAAAACTTGAATTAACCCAGATGTTCTTTACTGAGTGGATGATTAACCTGTGGTACATCCAGACTATGGAATAGTACTAAGCAATAAAAAGGAATTAACTATTGGTACACGAAACATCATGGACAAATCTCTAGAGAATTATGCTGACTATAAAAATCTAAGCTCAAAAGGTTACATATATGATTTCTTTTATATAACACTCTTGAAATGACAAAATTACAGAAACAGAAATCAGATAACTGGTTGCCAAAGGTTAAACTGGGCGAGGGGGGGGGAGCGGGGAGCAGGAGGGAGGTGAATGTGACTACAAAAAAGCAACAGGAAGGCATCACAGTGGTGATGGAAATGGTTTGTAGCCTTATTAGTGTCAGTATTCTATAAAACCAGAATATTGTGATATTGTGCTATAGTTTCACAACTATAGTTGCATATGATAAGATCATCTAATCTACACTATGTCATATATCAATATATCAATGTCTATCCCTTTTACTTCTCTCCTAAAGAAGCAATCCATTTTAAAAAGCTTAAGCAGAAGCTTTAACCAGGGGTTTTAAATGAGCTCTTCTTAAGACAATTAACGTACTGCCATCTAATCATGAAAACACAGCTGTGGCACACTTCTGACCAAGAACAGTAAGAATTAAAACTTCAATAACATGAATTAATTAAATTTAAAATTTAAATTAAGTTTTAATAACACTGTCCTGATTCAGATTCCTTTTTAGAGTTACTTTTTATTTTTAGGAAGTGGGGGTTTTTCATTTATAGCAGCAAAACATTTCCTTAAAAAGAACTTATTTAAAGAAGTCAATTTCAACAGTAGTAAATAGGTTAGTAAGCACATAGATATGGCAAAAATCTGAAAATGATACATAAATGCCCATATTTGGCTGACACTAGTTTTTAGCATGGCTAGCAAGTATTAATCTATGTTCTAGTTCTAGTTCTCTTTGAATAAACCAATCTGCTTCCTCATCTCTAAAAATGAAGGGACTAAAGTAAAATGAAGAGAACACTGGAGGTGAAAATATACGAGAGACCATCTGGTCCTAACATAAGAATTTACAAGTAATGTGCATACAGCACTATAGATTTAGTCCTATTGCCCCTATAGCAAAACAGGAACTAATTCTAGCTTTGACAAGGAATAAGAGTAGGGTTGGCATATACTCACCACTCTATTTTCTAGAGCCTCTGGCCAAATTAGCCAAGAAAAACAACATGTTCCCAATTATTCTTACTCTGGTTAGATCCCTTAGAAGGTCTAATTTGAGATATTTATCAGATAACAAAATTTCAATCACAGGAACACAATGAAACTTGGTTTCTATTTCTGTATCTAATAATCTAAAATCTCTAATAAGATACTTCAGTAGAAATGGTTATTTAGGATCTTAAAGCCCAGCAGCTAGATAGTAACTCTTGCATTCACTCTCTGTAGATAATCTCTGTGTTTTAAAAATCTGAATAATATACAGAATTCTTCAAAATCAATTCTTGAAGTTATATTCCTGAGAACATGAAATGCATATGTACATAAGTATATTCTAATACCTCAATCACAGACAACGCCTGGTGGTATTCAATTAAGTTCGCTGGTCTGACCCCACATATTCAATCCTATCCCAAAATGATCTAGCAAAAAGAATATGAAATAGCACCATTAATTCTATATGAGACTGGAAACAATGAAAGAGAAAATCTTGCTAAGACAATAAGGCTGTTTCCTATAATATCTATTACTTTGAAGTCTGCTTGATCTGTGAAAATTAAGCATGCTGTTCTCATCAGCAGAAACCTTCCCAAGTTAAATTTTAAAAGAAATACATTCTGGAACACTATTTGTGTGTGTGTGTATGGGCTAAGAAAACATGAATAATTCGCCATAAAATACGTTTCTTAGAGTCTCAATTTGACTGATACAACATTCTAATCATTTTTCTTTAAAGGCCAGGAAATACAATTGTTTTCTTATCAAGTGTTTGCAAAGGAAAAGACTTTCTAGTATATAATTGTCAGTTTTACCTTAAGAAGGAAAACTGGGGAACCAATCTCGGTCCAAATTGCTCCTTTAACATAACACTTTTCTTTTTCACACTGCACAAAGCCTTTTTGCTTTCTATCTACTAAACACAAGTACAAAATTCCTGTCCTGAAAAATAAAAAGAAGTAAAACAAACACTAAGCAAGGGACAAAACAGACCTTAGGAATGTGTTTACATAAACTTTTGAATATTCCTATTTTGGTGGGCAAGAGATTAGGCATAAGGGATGCTGGGGGGAAAAGGGAAAATGTTTTAAAACATGAAAATGTTATAATTTTTTTATGGTGAAAAATATAATGTGGATTGCATATGTTATCTCTGATGAAACAGAATTCCATCTACACCAGCATTCCCCTGTGGTTGATTTCAAAAGGATGATTCAAACAAAAGGAACTCTTTTCTTATGCTTGTGGTGGAGCCATTTGTTGGTGGAGCCAACAAATTGGAGGGTGGTAAACTTACAGTAGTTTCTTGCTAAGAGTGAAAAATTAATCATCATCTTCCTTCTTTCACCATGAGCAGGATTAATAAGCAGCATTTTTCCATAAATGGAGAAGAGAGATAGGCAAAATAATGGTGTCAACTGTAGGAGTATGAGGTTACTACTTTTCTTTCTGTTGGTGTCTTCTGGCTTCTCAGTGAAGCACTGAAAAGAAGTGAAGGCCATGTTCCCCTTCTCGAGATACAGGGCCCTCCTGGACAAACTCCCAGCCCTGCTTTTTAGGGTGGCCAAATGACATGCTGATATTCTATCAGCTCCAGTGATAACTTATTTTCATCCTGATGGGAAAGCAATTAACATCTTTTCCACAGATAGTGACTGTTCCCCTAAACTCGGGTTTCTCAACCCTGGCACTACTGACATTTTGACATGGGGAGAGGTGGGGGAGATGGCCT